ATTCGAATGCAGCGTTGTGTCAAAATTTCAAAGGAATCGGTAGGAACAAACGAACATTACATTTTTATTTATATAAATAGATAGAAGATGATCTGCTTTAGTTGATTTTCACAGAAAAGCATAATGCCTCACAGAAAAGCAAACTTAGGGCGTCGTACTCGTAGCGCCATCTGTTGGACATAAAAGCCTTAACCTAGATTATATATTTTAATTTATATGAATGTTTAACGGAATAATATACAGCCTATGTCCACCCTAAGGTTCCATTCTAAATATTAGTGAAAAAATTTTTGAAATCGGATGAGTACTTTCGGAGATTACCTGCTGCAAACAAACTTACATACATACATACATACATACATACTTACAAACATTACGTCTTTATAATATTAGTATAGATTTAGATTCGACATAATATAAAGCATATTTTATTAAATTAAATTACAATATAATATAGAAAATACTTTATTTTTGGATGTCTTTTGTTTGTCATTTTTTAAATTAAAACATAAGTAATATACAATACTTATTTTAGAAAGGATATATTTACAAACACTTTTCCATTGATATTGTTATTAAATTTATATAATTTTATAAAGAATTAAAACTTCGAGTAAAATTAAATTATTCAATAATCTTAATAATAATTTTATGAAAAGAAGTTTTTAACTCACCGACATGACACAATAAGTTAGTAACCAGCAAACACAAATGATTCCAAAATCAAAAAATACAGCAAATGTTTGTAACATTGCTCCAACTTGTGGATCTACGTGAACAAATGTAGAGGCATACGTCAGAGAGCAAGTGAAATACAAAAAATGCATTTATATCGAGGAATTACCAAATAAAATGTTTCGTTAACATTTTCGTATCGTTCGCGTAATTCCGCATGCTTTTTCATAGTGATTTGAAATCGATTTTTTAAGTCGCGCATTACAATTTTTGTCTTCTTTAATTTTTTGGATACATTTTCAGTTCTCTTTAAGGAGACATTTCCAAGCATCTCCAAAACGATTAGAGCTTAATTTCAGATTGAAGGGGTGCTGACCACTAAAAAGGTAAGAACCGCTGCTCTAGAGTATCCGGTATCGAATCACAAGAACTTTTTTGGTTGTGTACCGGTTATAACAAGCTCAGTCCCTTACAGACTGTGCTAACAGCGAGGCCTGATTGAATCTTGGATATGAAAGTGTAGGAGCCAAATTTGGTGAAAAATTTTTGTTCATATTGTTTTTATTAATTTAATCGTTTAAGTTGGTTTGCTAAAATCTACAATGAGAAACTATTTTCCTTCGAACTTATTTATTTGGTGAAAATGATACGTCGAATGTGTCACCCGGAATCAACGAGAGAAAATGTGACTATTGTTTCCCGATGTGCTAAACCTCTTAACGAAGTCATGGGAAAAACCCAGGAGCCCCGAATAAAAAGGAGGAGTTGACAAGTCGACGCACTCGTCAGCAACAGCTGTCGCCCAAAAGGAATAAGCCGAAAGGATCTTTCTCAAGAAACAATCGACGAAGTTCCCATCGATATATCGATACGTCGTAATGTCGTAGGATCAATAACTGTTAAAATTAATTAAACGTATTTACGTCTTGCGAAAGACTGTAACCTCTCTCTCTGAACGTAGAACGCGAATGTATTAAATCGGTTAAATCGTAAATGCAACCTTTGCTATGAAATATTAATATTTTGTATAATTAGCTTAATAAACGAAAATTGTTATTGTTTAATTTGTGGTTGGTGCACTTCCTCCATCCGTGCCATCTCTCGTATTTGATCTAAGCGCCTACAAATGCGACCGCTCGCGCGAAAAAGACGAAATTTACGGCCAATTAAGTTTTTGTGTCTGTCCGTAAAGACACAGTAGTGTCATTGCGGTCTTCACCGACCCGATGTCGACCCTTCGGTCCTGTGGTGCCGAAGCATAGGTGGGCGCTTCGCGCATTGTCACAAAAGGTTAAAAAGTGCTTCTATTGCTTTCTAGGATAAGAGGAGAAGAAAGCAAATATAATATATATACACATTACTGAGTTGTTTATTTCAATAAAAGACTTTATATCGGTAACATATATTTCTTATGTTCATATTTGAAATCTTTATACACACATATTTGATTTTATATACGACGAATCTTCATTTCAACAAAGGGTAATGAATAGTCTGCACCTTTCCAAGTGCCCCATACTATGCCTTTTCCTCTGAGTTCGTTCTTGCCATTCAAATATAAGCCGTTTAAATTCGAAAAGTGGCAATCGTTATACCACCATGCACCTTCGCAATATTGGGCGCAATTAGTAGTATTTGCTTTATCGTTATCTCTGTCAAATGTAGTGAAAAACATGTTGGTGTGATTCCGAAGAAGACTATCTTCTGTAATATATAAGAAAATGAGAGTTTTAATTATTAGCTTAATTTTCATTGTAATAATATTTTTAAAAAATATGACTTTTATAAAATATTTAATGGCGTAATCATAATTAGCATTTATAATTTAAGAAATTTGCAAAAGAATAATATAATGTACTAATACAGTACGATCATGACGTTGACGGATATGGTGATTTTATGGTCAGAGAACTTCGTCCCTGACTGAAACGCAGCGACGGTTTGTGGAGTCATGTTAGATCACGTGTGCACTAAATTAAAGTGACTCATCATACTACGTAAGGAGTCGATTCTCACCTCACTTGTAAAACTTCTTTCTTACATAATAAGGTTTAGGGAATTGGTAATGAAGCTTTATACTTACCATTTCAAATGTTTAACAGCAGCAAATAATCTTACCTGTACCAAGTAATCCACGCAACTTACTTCTTTTCTTCTGTAACTCATTTTTCTTAAAAGTTTCCTTCAGTGTTTCAAATGGAAAAGGTGCGCCTAATATTTTGGCAAAGGTTTTGCTGTAATTCGATTGTCACTGATTTGTTTACGTTTTTACAATGCAAAATTTTTCCATTGGCTTAATTAACACGAGATGAACGTTGATCTCGATATCTGCCGTTCTACATTAAATTATACTTTCTATGTTCCTGTACGTCCTATATCGTTTCGCGTCATTGGACATCACGACCTAACTCATCGATGGATTTGCTATTTAAAATACATTCTATCGTGCAAGCGGAAAAGTTACAACTTCAGTTTTTCGGTACGCGCAGCAGTCGAATCAAAATCAAATTAATTAATAAAAAACCGTGTTAATTGACATTCACGTAATATATATGACATTCAAAAATTCGTGTTTGAATATGCTAAAGTTAAATTAAATGACAAAATTTATTAATGTAATATTTCAAAACGTGTGGATAAAGTACTTGTTGGACTAAATGGTTAGGGCTAGTGACGTACTGTACAGTAAAAATCGATTACATGAGTATAAGCAATTAACATAAATAACCAAAATGTATTTCGGACTGTTGGAAGTAGTTCATCTTAAGTTGGTATAAAATATAAAAAAAATTATTAAGGTGCTCCACAAAAGTATGGAACCACTCAAAAAATTGGTCTTTTATGATTAGAACGTAATAGATAGAAATGAACTTTTTATGTACAATTTAGCACGTTACTTATAAAAAAATAATTTTAAAAAGCTAATTCGTTTTTGACTGTGAAATAGCGATGAAGTCATTTTATATACTGCCATATAAGTATAGAACCGCCATTCTTCTCCCAACTTTGAAGTGTAAAAGTATTTTTTTTATCATGCATCGTGGTACCCATCTAACAAACATTAAGGAAGGACAAATTGTAACTTTGAGAAGAACTGGTTTAAGTCACCAGGCAGTAGCAAACAGCATCAAACGTTCCAAAAGGTCGTTCAGCATTATTTTTTTAAAATCTTGCAAATTATGAACCAAAGCTTAGAAGTGAATGTCCTTCAAAGCTTACGCTGCAAGACCGCAAAATGAATATTAATTAATGCAGCTTCTAATTCCACGGCATCCACGCGTAAAATTTGCGACGATTTGGGTATTCAAGTACATCACGAAACCATTATGAGGGATTTTACACGGCAACAACAAAATTATTTGGTCTCGAATAAAAAGTGCACCTGCTCTTAAGCCTGAGCACAAACCCGCCCGACTCAATTTTTCAATGAAAAATATGAATAAGGTAAGCTTTTTGTTTTATTTATTACTATTATGCTAGAACAAGAAAAAACAACTTTTTCGTCGTATAGATAATCTTTTCGAAGGAAGACAAATTAATTTGGATGGGCCAGATGGTTTAGCGTTCTACTGGCGTGATTTACTAAAACAGCCCAAGTATTTTTACCAAAGGAATTTCGGTGGTGAGCGTGTTGTAGTTTGAGGTGCTTTTTCTGTATTGACAAAATTTGTTTTGGCATTCGTTACCTGTCGCATAAACAGTGCAGACTATCAACAAGTTCTGGAGAAGAAATTGCTGCCATACAAACATAGATTCAGAAGTATTCCTCTTATTTTTCAACATAACAACGCATCTATACATGTATCACGAGATACTTATATAGTTGCGCCAGTTCGTTCTCATGGTTGCATCCGCATAGAAAACGTTTGGGAATTCTTGATTGACCGAATTTATTACTAAACTCATCAGTATTCCGACGTTGAACACTTAAAACAAGCAATTGTCACTGCTTGAAACTCCCTTGAGGTACCGATCATTAAAAAAAACTGTTGATAGCATACCAAATTGCATTTTCGATGTTATCAGTAAAGGAAGTGAACAAATAAATTACTAAATTAAACTATTTTACAGTATATAATTTTTTTCGCATTAATTTACAAGTCGAATCTATATTTTTCTGCTGGTTAAAATCAGTTTTTTTTTAAACAATTTCTGCTGTTTGCTGCAATATGATAATTACTTATACTCATGTAATCGATTTAACTATACACAGCATGTTTTGTATTAAATGTACTATATTAATGCCTCAGTTTTGTGTTTCTTTTTATTGATGTAATAAGTCCGTATTATTGTCTATCCCACATGAGTAGATTCTTATTTAATATAATTATACCATGGTCTAAAAGCAATTCATTATAAACTTTATTGAGTACAACTTCCTGACATCAGCAATAAGAAAGTGTATTAAAATGATCTAAATTTACTTATGAAAAAGTTTTTATAATTAGATCAAAATTGTTTGAATTTTAGACAAGTAAAAACAATGACACATATTGCAGTGATATACGACAATACCCAGAATAATTTTGGTAAAAATTACACAAATATGAAAGAAAAAATTAAGAATATTCTCGAGATTGACATAAACATGATCATTTGTTTTTTTTTTAAAGTTCTACAAATGAAAATTACATTTTAAATTACCACTGTTACCTTTTTAACTGTAATCATGATCCCAAAATCATAAACTTATTTTATGATTTTGGGGAAAAAAAACTTATTTTAAGCATTTATAAACAGAAGCATAGTAACAAAATTCCTTTCAATTGTACTTTGCAAATAAACCGCAATTTACTGAATGAACTTAACCTGTTTCTTATTAAATATATAGATAGCTTTTGTTGAACGATATATCTATTATAAGATTAGTTTATTGAGGTTATTATAGTCGTGTTATTGCGTTTCGCTAACGGCTGGTCATGTGGTGTATTCTACGTTCTCTTCATGTTAGTAATACCTTAATAGAAATCAGTTTGCTATATAATATCCTTCTGGGAGAGAGATTTCCTTTGGCATATCACCCATGTGTCGTGCTGTCGTACACAATCAATGAAATTCCACTCTTTCTGTCTTTTCGAAAAAGTTATATTTACTTTCCCAACTGTAATATATAATAGCGGAAAAGTATGGTGATCTGTCAAAAAATTACCCCACAAGTTTTTTACATTTTTGCAGTATGGGATGAGGTGACAAATGGAGTGAGTGTCATTTGTCGAGTAGTGACTGACTTAATGAAGATTTTACTCGTTATTAGCATTTACAATTTTTTATAAAACTCAGAGTACATTAAAAATTAAGTTTTTGTTTTTTTCGTAAAAATCATGACGTTACTGAATAAACAGGTGTCTGTTGCATATCTTTGTTTGTTCACTTAATCATTTGCATATCTCTCTCACTCCTACCGGATGCCTGAAATAACGCCATATTTGAAATCATTAAATACACGTCCCCAGTTTTATTTTTAGTCAAGGGGATGTGCCATTTGTGTTGTGTAATGTAACTCATTCTTAAGGTGATCAATCGTTTTTCTTTAGCGAGGAGGGTCTTCCTTTTATAAGATCTGTCCTCCCTGAACAGTGTCCTCCTACATGTTCTTTTTTTTTTATATTTGATAACTAATTTGTAAATCTCCGTATTAGATCAATGACGAGCCGATCCGTTGCGTGTAATGTGATATGAGTATTTGTATATAACATGACGATTCATCAAGGCTCTGTACAGTGCGAGAAGATGCAATTATGAGACGCATACGAGAGAGAAAACGTGCGCACAAATGGCTTTGTTTTCTTCTTATCTAAACACGACATGGCACCTATGCATGCAGCAGAGATTATTATAGTGTACAATTGTTGTATAGTGTAAAATGTTTTTTCTTTACGGTATTTTTTCCTTCAATTTATTAGTGTCCTTTTCATTGCAAAAAAGTTGGCTACGTTATCATTGTGTAAGAGTGATATTATCCGTCGTTGCCAAAAAGTGCGCTGTAACAAGGTCACAGCGACTCTATGTAGTATATTCCAGCTGGTTGGGCTTTGTGCATTCTTCCGTAGTGTTGCTCTTTCACTTTTGAAGAGTGTATGTATTAATTACATAATGATATATCAAATTTAATTTATTATAATAGCAAAATATACTTTGAGTAATTTTTAAATTATTAATTATTTCAATAAAGTGGTAAGTAAACTTTAACTTACCAGCTTCACCACTGTAATTCCTTACATGTAATTTATACAAATTTTCTTCGTTCCCAATTCTGAATTCTCCATATTGGGCATATGATGTCGCATTTTCTTTGTCTTTCATATCAATCCTGAGATAATAGTTTCCTTGATTTGTTAAATAATATAATTTTTCATTGCCTGAAATATGCATTCGTGTATTCAGTAAACTTGTTTCACCAGCTAAAATTTGAATAAATCATGAATAAACATGTGTAATTAGAATTGATTACCTAACCAAAAGTCTTCTTCCATTTTTCCGAATCCTTCCGCATAACTATTCCAATCTTTATAGAAATAGGAAACAGGTTGTTTAAAATCTCCTCTTCTTTGGAACACCTTTAAAATATAATTAGTTTAAACGTAATAACATCAAATTAGTTAAGTAATTAACGATATTTGTTAACAGATTTTAAACATTTCTATAAAGTATTGCAGTTTTGCTGCCCTCAGATTTTTTTTAAATATCGTATTCGAGTTGAATATAATTAACGTAATCAAATTTTACAGATGTGTTTACAACGATAAAACAGGACAGACCTTCACCATACACGCGGGTTCGACTCTGGACTAGGTTCGATTACTTCATTTGAACATAAAAAAATAATTTTTTCGGAAAATACAGTGCAATGCCGATTATTCATGCGCAAATAATCATAAAGCATCTTTTTTACACATAATTAGCCAAACACAAAAAAATATTTGTTGAAAAAATATTGTGTAAACAAACGATGGCTTTTATATGAAAAAATCTAGCAAAAAAGTCGCTTAACTTTCTCAGCGACATTTAAAACTGTGTGTGTGCGTGGCGCCATTTGTTATGATATTTTATTCAAAATTTTTTTATAGTTTCAATTGTTATAAATCGGCAAATAGCTAAACTTTAAAAATAGCAATGGGTTATATAATAATTTTAAATGCTAATAACGAGTAAAAATATCATTAAGTCTGATCCTACTCGATATATGATACACGAGTCTTCTTTATCTCGTTATCCTGTCGAACTTTAACCACAAACATTTAATAACGTCAATCCTCTTAATACACAAATATCCACTTAAGATTTTATAAATATTCGACAAAAAGTTAAAACTCATTAAGCTTCAAAGAGGATGAACAAACCCTTCCCCTACACACTAACATTTCATACATACAGAAAAATTGTAGAATATTTGTGCAATACTCGAAATTTTAAGGTGTCATAGGTCCAAAAATTTCAAAATGTAGGGGTGAGCTTGTGAAATTGTAAAAATTGTAAAAGTTGTAAAAATTGTGAAATAAAGCTTCTGATGGACAGTGTCCAAACTATTTCCTTCTAAGAAATAAGTTCTTGATTTCCTGTGCATGTTCTGCACATAGTTATCCCGGATTATCGGACGTATACTATAATTGCGAAATTAATCGTATATCGCTATTAGGCAAAGTGATAATAACACACGAATTTATTTGTACTCACCGTCCATCCACCGCCGTCTGTTTTCATATCGCAATACACTTTGAAACAAAAAGGAGTTGTTTCATTTTTCATAACTCGTATTTCGTAAATGCCAGACTTTTCTGTTTGTCGATCTTTAATGGACTGTAAAAATATGAAAGTACTGCGGTTTTGCAAAAAATAACGTTTAATGCGGAATGAAACACTGGTACAAAATGGCTGCTACAAATGACCGTTACAGAAACTACTCTCGTTCAAATTTTTTTTTTCTTTTTTTTTATGACAAAAATACGGTGGCGCTTGAGGCGCTAACATTTTCAATCCCCTGTTTTTTAATATCGGTACAATCCGACGGTATTTGCCTTATTTCCGGAGGAAATCCTATGACTGATAAATGTAAGAAATTAATTTATAAAATTAATGGACTAAATTAGAAAACAGCTTAGAAAACTTACTCTTATGGATGAGTTTGTCTACTTCTTTGAGTTTTGTGAACACGTCGTTACTCACACATGTAGTACTTTCTGTCCAAGATATCCGAAGTTGGGTGGAAAGGAAAAGAATTCCCCACAACAAAATTGCAGCAGTCATGTTATTTTTTTTTTGCCTTAAACAATTAGACTTTTTAGAAATTTCGAGTCAGTTTAGTTCATTCGTTGAATTTAAAATTAGATTTTATATGACGTTACCTTCCTACGAGAAGTAATGATTTATTTAATAGATCGTGTGTAACAAGATAATATCGTAGTGGTGCAACTATAGCTCCTACAACTGTACAAAACTAGGAGTGATCGTGTTTAGTAGATCTAACATATACAATATGAAGCGATTACGCTTAGTATTTGAAGGCTGTTAGTGCCGTGTGGAAACACCGCAGTAGTAATAGTGTGTATTTTAGTATTTCAACGGGTTTTGATAAGCAAAACTTGTTTACTTTTTACGTTTTTATCAGATAAATATAAATTTTTTTTATTCTTAGTATATTCAGTTCAATAATTTATTTTTACATAGTGAAGCGATTGTTAAATACTTAATAATTGAGTGCTTTGACGTCACAGATAGTAACCTAACTGATCCAAGATAGCCACAATCAAGTGAATTATTGACGCATATCAATGCGTGAATTTCAGTATTAATCCACACTAAAACATTTACGAGTAACTAGAACATATATATGCAAAACGATACTTAAAAACTTAGTTGAACTAAATTAAATGCAATTTAAATTTCGTGAAAAAGAGCAGAATGTATAAAACCACGGTATCTATAATTAAGCGAAAAAAAAAAACATTTTTGGCAAATAAATTATTCTTTACTTTAATTGGAAAATATTATATTTCCTGAAAAATTATTTTTAAAAAAATTGCATTTGTTGACTACAAAATATGGAAAGCAAAAGCGCCAATACATTAGGGCATGTGGCTCCTTGGTCGCCCTTGTCCTAGTTTCTAAACTGCCTCAAGTTCCATAATCAACAAAGAACAGAAAATTTGTGAATTCTCGTTTCTTCTACAAATATAAACGAATTAAAAAGCGATCTTTGTCCATTGTCTCATGCAAGTATTTTTTAAACAGTCATTTGTTTGTCGTATGTTGACTAAACCAAATTTTCTGTTTTCAAGTTAACCCCGAATTCAGCAAATGCTATCTTGTGGCAACGCTAATTCAGTCACAGGGTTTGAAGCTTCTTAAAAATATAGATGCCTCTTTTTGATTGTTTGTGCCTTCTTTTATTTTCCGGCTGTTATATATAACATAGGGAAAGTATGACGATCGATCAAAAAACGACCACCCAAGATTTTTGTATTTTTCGACACGCCTTGCCTTTTTATAATTTAATTAAAATAGAATATTAGAAGTAGAAATTCCCAATTTTAATTAAGTTGTTTGTTGATGCTAAGTAGGTATCCTGCCTCTTCAGGAGAAGACAGTTATGACTGCCGTGAGATTCCTTATTCCATCAACGCTTTTAAAATGTCACTGGTGATGATATTTTAAAAGCAACAATTATCACTTTAGACGTGTTTTTTTAAAACTGCATAAATTTGTGATATAGCTTATTGTAATAAAAGTTTATTCTCTTATCAAAAAATAGCTATTTTTTCCAATCACATATTTTTAATAGTAATAGGATAATTTACAGAATATATTTCTAATTGACTAATTCATTAGGACTGTTCATAAATAAAGTCCACATTGGAAGGAAGGATGAAAGTAATTATGCCAAATCGGACGAAGTCAGACTGGGGACAAAGGAGTGACTGAACTTCAATGGACGTCCATTTTATTTGATTAAATATTATACCATCGACGCATTTCAATACTCATACAGTGATAAAGCTTTTTTTGAATTAAATAAGTTTTATTCGATATCGGAAATGGGTAGAGAGTTAAGCCCTATTATTTCCTACTAGATCTGTCAATGCAACTGACAAACATTGAAGGAGTAATTACAGTCTCATTAGAGCCATACCAGTCAACACCAGAAAAGGCTAATTACATGTGAATACCAATAAGAAGGTAATTAAAGTATAATATTAACAATACGAATTCTCACGCATTAATCCCTTAAAAATTATAACAAAGTATTACTGTTTAAAAAATCGTGATGTAATACTGTATAATGTAAAGTCAGAATTAAACTATTGATATTCTAATGGTATTTAAAATAAAAAATTAAAACATATTACTACATAATCTGAGAGAAATTTATACATTAAATGTGTATACATAAATAATTAATAAGTTTTAAACATATGAGATCCGAATTACCCCTGGGACTAATTAACAATTTAAATATAACGCTAAAATTATAAAGTAAAATATTATTTCATTTTGGTGTGAAAAGATCGTTTTTCTAACGTGGGAAAACTGATAAAAGGGCCACTTCCTTTAACGGAAGTACACACATCTTTTTGTTTTCCACTTATATATCACAAATCTCACCACACTGGGAATTGTCGACCCCTCTATAATTCCCCTTTTCATCCGTTCACGTGAGAAAAGACAAATAAGCTGATTGGTCACAAATCATGAGATATAGTCAAAGATCTACACGATTCGAGGAGTACGTCGGGGAATCTCATAGTGGAAAGAAGTTCCCATATTGTCTCCCTAAGGCCAACGCCCTTAGTTAGGAGTATGCCGTAGGACCTCATCTAAGCCAGACGTAATCTATATTCGCTCCATAAGGCCAACGCCCATAGTCGTATCCAGACAAGTATAAAAATGAGTTAATTTAGGAAAAAAGAAGAACTTTTAATATTGTGCCAAATCCATGAAACGAAGTATTGATCTTAGAATACAGATGAACATAAACGCAAAGTAAACCTTGAGGTAGTTCAATTATCAATGAATTTGTGAGCTTTCTCTCTCAACGCGTATATTTTAACTGTATGCATATTCTCTCTAAATTGCTCGTTTGAATTGTTTAATTATATCCAGTTTGTATACTTTTGTTTATCCTAGTTTATTAAATTCTTTTTATTATTTGTTAAAGAAATGTCTTTTATTCAATTATCTGAATCACATCCATATTATCTCCACACGCGTGTTAATCCGCGTGTTATAAAACTGATTAACTGGTGTCAACATTCTGACATAGATCCGAATTTCGCGATTCAGATCTGTTACTAAAGCCCTCTAATTCCAACGATCTACGATCTATTAGTAGGCTTTCTGATTGGACTAGTTTAAACAAAGGCTTCACGTCAGTGAAAGCATGCAGGAGAAATGCACTTTGAAGTAGGAATCAAGGTCACTTCCTATTGCTTTGTCTCCTGCAGAAGCACTTACAGAGCTAAAGACCTCGGCCCCCAAGTGTAAAGGTCCCACTATAATTAAACTGTTATCATAAATTTTTAATACTTTCTTATTAATTAACAATGAGCAGGAATCGTATAGTAAAAAATAGTTAAAATTAATAATATAATAACAATGATGATAATTTATAGTATTGCTTGTATCATTTCACTCCAATTTAAAGGTTCTTTTGTAAATAAAGAAATAATGAGGCCCCATTAAACTTCAATAAGCCTCATGTTCCGTAAAATTTATATCTATCTTGAGTGTGCTATAGGGAAAATTGATACGATACGGCCCTTTGTTTAATTAATTTGTACTTAAGAATTTTCAATAAATGTAAATATTTAATAGAAGATAGTAATTTTGATGTAATTAACCACAATAACTAAATTAACCACAGCTATTCAAGACAAATACCCAAGGAAATATATGTGCTTTCAGAAACAATTCTACTACTCCTTAAAGACTTAAAAATAAACTAACCCAAATGCCAACTCTAGTCGGAACGACTATAATTGCATTACTCGTATATACTAGACATTCAACATTAAAACTGACCTACGTCATTTAAATATAAGTTATTTATAGTTATTTATAGTTATAGTTCCCTCTAACAGTACTTTGTTAAACAGCTCTTTTAACCAGTCTCTTCCCTCCTCTCGTAGGACTTTCCATACCTCTATTAGTATCTGATCCGGGCTCACTGATTTCCTATTTTTCATTTTATTCAATGCCAGCTTTACTTCCCATTTCTCTATTATGCCTACTAGGCCAATATTTGGCTCTACATTTTCAGTGTTAGTTTGTCTGTCATTCTTCACGTTCATAAGGTCTTTAAAGTATGTTTTCCACCGGACCTTAATTTCTTCATTTTTAGTTAGCACTTTGCCATTTGTGTCCTTTATACACTTGATATAGGTCATATCTTTACTCCCTCTGTCTCTCATTTTCGCAAGTCTATATATGGCTTTTCTACCCTCTTTTCCCGTGAGTGATCTATACATTCCGTCCTGGGCTTAAGCCTTAGCTATAGCAACCGCTGTCTTCGCCTTCTTTTAATTAGCACATAGCCATCTCTTTTCTCTTCCCTTACCTTATTATCTCCTTTCTCATTCTGCCAACTTTTAAAAGCATCTTTCTTCTCTCTTATAGCTTTTTTTTACTTCTTCATTCCACCACCACTCCTCCTTCTCTATTTTCCTACCTGACTTTGTTTCTCCGAGAAGTTTCTTTGCAAGCCTTTGTATTTCCCTGGCCACCTGTGTCCACCATTCATCTGCCGAGTCATTGCACTTCACATTACCATTAATAACGCTTATTACTTTTTTTTAAACTCTATTTTCTTTTCCCCTTTTAACAATCACCATTTAATTTTAGGTATCAGTTTATCTTTTTACTTAATCCTATTAAGATCAATTCTTAATTCCATTACTAACAATCTATGCTGACTAGTCAAGTATTCTCCTGGTATTACTTTACAGTCCTTAATCCGCTTTAGAGTAGTCCGTCTTGTTAATAGGTAGTCTATTTTTGATTTATGATCCCTGCTCTTATAAGTTATTAAATGTTCTTCACATTTATCAAAATAAGTGTTAACCACTACTAAATCATAGGCGGTGGCCATTTGCAAAACACACTCTCTTTCAAAATTTCTACCACCAAATCCTTTGCCTCCAAGTACTCTCTCATAACCAGCATTATTTTTTCTCACATGCCCGTTAAAGTCCTCTTCAATAAATATCTCCTCATCTGTCGGTATCTCTGTCATTATCACAGCCAAATCTTCCCAAAATTGTTCTTTAACTCCAGCATCTACACCCACTTGTGGCGCATATGCACTAATTACATTAATTAACTATCAGTTCTCCAATACTTAGTTTCACCAATATCAAT